GAGATTGAGTGCAGATAGAAGCATGCTATTTTCACTTCTCTATTTTTTCATGGGTTTTATTTTGGTCCATATTTTCTTTTGCAACATGACTAATATGGAAATACATTTTCAATGACTGCAAATGTATAACCTATATCAAATTGTTTACCATCTCAGGGAAGGGTGAGGGAAGGGAAGAGGGGAGAGAATTTGGAACTTGAAACAAAAAAAAAGAATGTTAAATTTATTTTTGCATCCAATTAAAAATAAAATATTATTTAAAAACAGAAAACAAATGCTTAAGATTGCAAGATGTTTCCAGATTCAATAACATTTCTCTGAAAGGAAGAGACTAAAGGACTGTGGCATACTTATTGGAGAGGCAGTGGACTCTAGGAATCCAGAAATATGAGGAGACATCCAAAGAACAGTAATCAAGATTGTGAAGGAACTGCACCCAGTGTAATATGAGACTCACTTGAAGGAAATAGGAATGTTTAAAAAAATTACTTTAATTTTCTTGACTATAATTTTCCATTAATCCTAGCAGCTTCTTAGTTTGTCCTTCATAATCTGGGGAAGATTTAAAGATTTGAAGGGCAAAGAAAAGGACTGTCATTTTTTGCTTGGGGCAGAAACTTAGAAAAATGGGTGGAAGTTTCAGAGAGACAGATTTTGGCTCTTATAAGGAAATACCTTTTAAAAATTAGAGCTGTTCAAAAAGAGAATGGGAGGTAGCAAGTTCCCTGTTATTGGGGATGTTTAGGTTGAGCCTCAATGGCTTGTTGAGGGTGATGCTGGAGGGGATACCTGTTTAGCTACAGGTTAGACTACTCAGATTTGGTGATTCTGTGACACTTGGATTAGAGGCTTAACTCTAACAAAAAACAAGTTGTATAACTTTGAATATATATATATATATATGTTACTTTTATATATTATATATGTCACTTTACATATATTATATATAACTTCACTGTATTAATTTCTTCTAGATCATTTTTACTATACTTTCTAGATCTCAAGTTCTGTAATTCTCAAATAAAATGAAAAGTTTCATAAGAAAGTTATGTAAGAGAACCCATGGTTGTCAGAGAATATCTGCAAAACTTGGGGAAAGTATATCAATACTTTACAATTTCTCTTTATATTAGGCTTGTTATCTGTTTCTTAAATTCCTCATCTATTTTTTTTTCTGTCCAAGTAGGCTGTTGTATATTCTGATGGCAATATTCAACTGAAATTGCTCTCTCTTCAAAGTTACTATTGAACTCTCAATTCCTATATATGTGACCTTTTCTCAAATCTCATCCTTCTTTGCCTCTCTGCAGCATTGGATACTATTAGCTGTCCTCTTTTCCTGGATACTATCTCCTTTCTGAGATTTCATGATTCTAGTTGTCCTTTCGAATGACTACTCATTCTCAGTCTCCTTTGCTATATCATCATCCATGTCATGCCTCTTACCTGTGGATATTCCCCAAGATGCTGCCCTAGACCCTCTTCTCTCTCTGTACTCCATTTGATGACCTCATCAGCTCCAGTGGGTTCAAATATTATCTCTGTGCAGATAATTCCCAGATTGATATACATAGTTTTAGTTTCTCCTTAACTCTAGCATTATATCACCAACTGCCTGTTGAACATTTAGATGTTCCATAGATGTCTCAAACTCAGTACACCCAAAGTCTAACTCACTATTTTTTCCCTCCAAACCCACTTCTCTTTCAGACTTCCTTATTTCTACCAAGTCGCCATCACCTAGTCACCCAGATTCAAAGTCTCTGGGTCACTCTCAATTCCTCATTCTCACTAATGCCATATATCCTATTTGGTTATTTAATCTTATTGTTTTGACCTACACAACATCCTTCAAATACCTCCCTTTCTCTGCACTTGATATAACTACTGCCTTTTTCAGGCCATTATTACCTGGATTATTGTGATTGCCTTCTGATCAGTGTCTCTGTCTCAAGTCTATCCATACTCCAGTGCATTTTCTAATTCCCCAAAATTGCCAAAATAATTTTGCTAAAGGACGGGTTTGATTATGCCACTCCCTTAACTGGAGCTCCAGTGGATTTCTATGACTTCTAGGATCAAATATAAATTTTTCTGTTTGACGTTTGAAGCCTTGACCAATATGGCTCTAACCTACCTTTCCATCTCTATTACACATTACTCACCCTTTCTCCCTACACTCCCTCCAAACAAATCTCACTGTTCTTATTATATGACGCTCCATTTCCTGCCTTTGCACCTTTTCATGGATTATCTCCCATGTCTGGAATTCTTCCTCATCTCTTCTTCATAGAATTCCTGGTCACCTACAAGACTCAGTTAAAATACTTCCTTTAACATGAAGCCTTTCCTGATCTCCCCCCTCCAAGATAGTGCCCTGCCCCCAACCAATCACTATATCTCTTTTGTATACATGTACATGCTATCTCCCCTAATAGACTATAAGCTCCCTGAGGAAAGAATTTTTGACTTTGTATACCAAGTGCTTTGGCACACAGCAGGCACTTAACATGTAAATGCTTAATTGATTTATTTCTCCTTCCATTTGTTTTCACACAAATGCTTTCCACCTAGTTGAAGCAGCAAGGCCACCTTGCAGAAGAGACTAGGGGCAGGATGTACCAGGAGAGTCAGACGACCATCCCAACCATCAACTATTGACCAACAGCCACAAACCAACTGGTGCTGTGGTTCCCACCTCCTCAGCAGCTACAGCTATTGATACTAATGACAGGAAAAAGAAAGCTGTTGCTTCTGAAGTCCTGGCACTGCCTAATGGTTTAGCCCAATGTTTACTTTCCGAGTTTACCTTTCTCTTCAGATGCCCTTGCCTTTGATTGACAGCAATGTTGAAAATACCACTAGTGAGCTAAAAGTCTTTAATTTCTTGCCCAAGATTTCAAAATCTTTGACATTGCTTTTTTAAGATTTCTTCTTTCCAGCATAACTTGTGCCCACATGAATCACCAGAAGTAGATAGTATTTTGACAAGTTTGGGGAGGTTCTCTTACATACTTTGGATTCTTTCCAGGAAAACAGAAGAATACTAGGTCAATAAATGACTGTGAGGGTCCCTTAGGAGAGAGTCACTGGTTACCATTACTCATCTCTTTTTCCTTGGACCCTTACTGAATGACTTCGTGTTGTTTGTTTTTTGTTTGATTGTTTGTTTTTAGGCAATTGGGGTTAAGTGACTTGCCTAGGCTCATACAGCTAGTAAGTGTCAAGTGTTTGGTCTGAGGCTGGATTTGAACTCAGGTCCTCCTGACATCAGGGTCAGTGCTCTATCCACTGCGCCACGAAGCTGCCCCTGAATGACTTCTTACTAGCTAGCTAGCTAACTAGCTAGAAAAGGCATTTATTAAGTACTTATATGTCAGGCACTGTGATAAGTGTTGGGGATGCAAATACAAGCAAGAAAGATGCTCCCTGATCTCAGGTGCTTATAATCCAAGAAAGGAAGGCAATACGTCAAGGGGAGCTGGAAGAAGATGTTGAAATGACTATGATATAAAAAAAAAGAGGCATCGAAAATGTATTTAAAAAAAAAACCAAGCAAAAACCAAAAAGAAAAGTTTCTTCCTAGGCCTGGCTCAGGTGAAAAATGCTTTCTGTAACCTTTGCTTCCCAAATACTATATAAATGAGTATAATATGCTCCTTAAAGTCCCAGGGATGGGAACTGACTTGCCTAATTGGCACAGAAAGTAAGTAACAAAATCAGCATTCAAATCCATATCCTATAACTCCAAATCTAGTGTTGTTTTCAGCCACACCAAAGCCGCTTAGGAACAAAACTCATTCATTCAAAAATTTTCCTCCATTATGTGTTACCCCTCTACCTTTAGTTTGAGGAATTAAAGGGTTTCCATTTCACATGAAGAGTTTCTCATCAATAAATATCATCACAGCTGATCTGGGAACAAAATGCTTAGTAGCAGAAATTCCTCCTGTCTCCACAAAATTCAAGGCAAAGAGGGCATCCCTCCTGAGCAGCAGAAGCTCATCTTTGCAGGCCAGCAGCTAGAAGATGGCCACACCCTGTCTGACTACAACATCCAGAAAGAATCCACCCTCCATCTGGTCCAGCATCTTAGAGGATCTCTGTGAAGACCCTGACAGGAAAGACCATTACCTTGGAGGTAAAACCTAGTGATGTTGTATTTAACTGGTCTTTCCATGGCAGTCTTTTAGGAAATCATTTCCTAATTTTCTCATTTAACTCTTTTTTTCTGTCTTGCCCTTCTGTTTCCTTTGTGCTCTCTCTTCCATCACTTATTTGTCACCTATTACAAGCACGCTTATCCCAGCCAAGGAAGTGAGACTATTGCTTTCTCCTTCTTTGTTGCTGTTTCAAATCTCTGTGTGCGATACTATTTACTATATCACTAGTGTACTCAGAATGTGATAGTATTTTTACTGTGACTGTATCTAACTTTCTAATGAAATCTCAACAACAATAAGGAATCCCACAAGATAAGTTTTCCAGATGATAATTTCTGTCCAAGATTCTCTCCCAAAGTTCTACATAAATTAGTAGGCTTAGTGGATAGATTTTGGGGAGGAGGAAGGGGAATTCTGAGAAACTGGATGGGAAAAATATGACATCTTTATTTTCACTAATCTCCAATTAAAATTTAGAATTTTCTTCATTATGAATTTTTCCCCATCATTCTGAGAAGGGGTCCAAAGGCTTCAGCAGACTGCCAAAGACACAAAAAAGGTAAAGAATCCCTGGTATGAATGTATAGCCCCTTTCCCCTAGCAGATACTTAGTAAATAGTTGCTTAATTGAATTGAAATGGATTGAATCCAAAAAAGATACACTACCTTATAACAACAAACATTGCCAGACTCTATGTTCGATCTGTCGATCCGTTTTCTCCTCTCAATCCTGGTAGGGGTTTCCATTGTTTCAGACAGATAAATAGCAGTGCTGAAAGTCCCTAAGATCTATTTGCCAACCCCTAGAAAGCTATAAAAATCTCTCTTAGTACTTACCTTCAGATCCTACTTACTTTATCCTCTGACACACTGCAGATCTGTGTAGAAAGAAACTTTGGACAGCTGAATATATCACTCTTGAGTTGTCAGAGAGCCAGGTTTTCCTTAGAAGGCATGAGTAGTGGCGTAAGGATTGGGTGTGGGAGAAGGAGACAAGGGGAGGGAGGGGGGGGAGGGAGAGGGAGAGGGGAAGGGAGGAGGGAGAGAGAGAGAGAGAGAGAGAGAGAGAGAGAGTTTCCCTTAGAAAAATCCAGAATATAATTTCCACTCAGTTTAGTAAGCATTTATTGTTGCTTATCATAAAACTATTCACTAATGGTTTCTCCCCTCCCTGCCTGCCTTCATCTCATTGTAAAATTTAATAAACTATATAAAGTCACATAATCTCTCATTTTGTATACATTTCTCCCACGTCCAACTTCCTGCCCGGGCTCTACCCACCATTTTCTCTTTCCACTTCTGTACTTTTCCAGGGAGCTTTTCTGGGGGTAGGGGGTGAGGGGTGTGGGTGTACCTTGAGGTACAGCTCATCTGTCCCACTATATATATTCATGAGCCATAACTTTGCTAATTGAAGTCTTCTCCCAGGAGCTCAGGTAGATTCATAGAATGTTGGAAGTGGAAGGGGGAACCTAAGAATTATTTAGTCCACCTTCCTCTTTTTACAGATTAGAAAACTGAGGTTCAGAGAAGTGAATGAAAGCATGATTTGTCTAAGATAACCTAGCTATCTTTTGGCAGAGCTGGACTTTGAATCAGTTGTCCTAATTCCCTAGTCCTTGAGCTTTCTGTTATGACATTTCTTCCCTCACAACCCACTCTAACAGCTTCATCTCTCTCCTTAAGCCCTCAATCTTCTCAACTCAGATGGCCATCCCCATCTTTCTCTTCATCCTTTCTCCTTCTTCCCTTCCCCAGCCTAGACAATGCAGTGGTGAAGACGGTCCAGGATGTAATGCCGATGCCAGATGGACATCACGAGGCTGTGCCAGGATATGTTCTCCGAAATGGCCACGTACCTGACAAACGAGCTGACAGTCACCAGTGAAGACCGTAAACTTCTGGAAAATATAAACAAACTGTAAGTTCTAAGTATCTAGAAATGAAAGATACTGCAGTAAACATAAGTAGAAACAGAAAGGACAAACCAGAAATACACAGTGCTTTAGCCTCATCTGGATCAGTTCACTTTAATTGAAGAGCAAGAGGCAGCCTACCAGTTGGATGCATATTCAAAGAAACTAGAAGGGAAGTGCCAGTAGTTAGAGGCAATGAAAGAATTCATTAGCACAAAGATCTTAACTACAAGAAAGTTTCACAATAGCTGAAATGCGTGGGATGGATTAAACTTCTATGCTTCAATTCCACAAAAGGAAGCAGTGCTGCTGATCCAAGGAGGATCTAGCCCTCACCTTCTGTTGGATGCATAACTTTGGCCACCTCTTGATGTTTTCCTAAACCTGTATCCCCTGGAACTTCATCTGATTGTGTGCTTCACTGTGTCCCCTGGACCAAGGTTCAGGAATCAGGATTGAGCTCATCGAGAACAGACACAGAGGAGAGGCTCTGGTGTCCCTGTCTCCTCCCTCCGACCCCTCTCCTAGGGCTCCATCTTTGACTCATTGTTCTGAATGTGCCCCCCACCCCCTTCATGACCTGTTCTTGAACTTATAATAAATGTGGATTTATGACCCTCAAAAAAAAAAAAGGTTGAAACTATTTGGCTTAAGCACTTCTAGAAGTACTTCCATTTCTCTGCATCAATGTAGGCCTCCCTTATCCTGTACCACCAATCCTTTCCTAATTCCTTGATTTCTCACAGAAACATTCTTTTCCCATAAGAGAACTAAACCTTGTGCTGGCTCTCATTCTTTCCTATCTCACAAGAATGCTTCCATGAGTCCAAATTCATGCAAAGTCAAGAGCCCTGGATTAGACTGAAGAGGAGAAAAAACAAACACATGCCTGGTTGAGGTTTCAGGCTACTGAATTTCTGGTTAATTGAAACATTTTGTGCTTCCTATTTAATTAGATTTAAAGAGGCAGGGATAGAAATATAAATCTAAAGTTATCTTCAGCCCTTTACAAAATAAAGCTAGCCCAAAACCTGAATCATTTTTCTCCATCAGACCTATAGTAACTTCTGAATGGGAATAATGAAGAGTACACACACTTCTGTATTATATAACACTTTCGTAAGAATAGTCATGTGCTAGAGCATGAAGGAATCAAACAAAATTTAAGAGACAATAAAAGTGCAATAAATACACTCTTTACAGAAATATATGATACAATAAATGAATAATGGATGTGTGGGACAGAGACCACTACTCAAATTCAAAACAAAGACTTAGATACCTTGAAAGCAGAAAGGAGTTTATTGCTTTCTCATGAGAAAGGGTATTGCCCTGTATCACCTCTCATCACCCTAACGGCACCCACCCACCAGGGAGTGCGAGCACAAGTTGGTTACAGAAAGCAAGGCTTATTTATACCCTAACACGAGTTTCTCCTCCCTAATCTCCTTTCCTTTATCCCATTGGCTGGGCTTCAGGGGGCACAATCTATTCACGGAAATCTTCCCCAGCAACAGAGAACAAAGGCGGTTATACAAGTTTGCCCAGAACAAGAAAAGGTGGGAAGTCTTGCAAGGGTAAACAGTTTAGGTTGGGGATAGGGCTATTCTTTCTGCTACATGCATAAAAACAAGATCTGGGGGGGTTTTGATAAGGTCAGAAGGGAGTGTGTTTCAACAATACAATTAAATTCCTTGAGAAGGCCATCTACAACAGGTGCCTCCAATTTCTCTCCTCCCACTCTCTTCTTAACCTCTTACTATCTGGTTTCTGACCTTATCATTTAACTGAGACTGCTCTCTCCAAGCGACCAGTGATCTCCTCATTGCTGCCCTTTGTGAGAACTATTAACAAGAACGATTAACCCTTTGAGGAGGCTTCACTTCTGAGAGATCATCTCTCACATGGATAAAGGGAAATATGAGCAAAAGAAATGGAAGATTAAGATACCACATTCTGAAAAATGATTAGATTAAAGAACAAATCATAGAAACAATAAATAATTATACAAGTGATAATAATGAAACAACAAAGCAAAACTTTTTAGGACATAACTAAAGCAATCCTCATTTTTCTCTGTCAGAACCAAAGTGCAATTTTCTGTGATGAAATTGTAGAAGTAGAAAGCAGAAATACTTCAAAGGTTCCTGGCAAATGGCAGGTCAATTGGCTAAAAGTTTTACATTGGTAGTTTGCCCTATCCCTGAACTTCTATGACGTGTCTTCATTATTCCATCCATCAATTCTCTATGATCCTGTCCCCTATCTAAATTATTCAAAAACAACTTCAGATTTATGTGTCTGTAGACATATCATATCAGAAACTAGATGAGTCCTTAGAGATTAATCCAAACCATTCATTTTATATGTAATGACAGTTAATGAGGTGGTCTATAGTATCTTCCAGTGTCTTCAAAATGTAACAATTTTATTATTTTAAAAAATATTTTATTTTTACAATTATAGGTAAAAAGAATTTTTAACATTCATTTTTTAAAATTTTGAGTTCCAAATTCTTTTCCTCCCTCCCTTTTCCTCTATTGGGAAGGCAAGCAATTTTATATAGGTTATACATGTACAATCATGGAAAATACATTTCCATATTAGTCATGTTGTGAAAGAAAACACAGACCAAAAAAAAAAAAGCCAAGAAAAATAAAGTTAAAAAAAGTGTGCTCCACTCTGCATTCAGACTCCAGCAGTTCTTTCTCTGGAGGTGTAGAGCATTTTTTTTTTTTTTTTTTAGTGAGGCAATCAGGGTTAAGTGACTTGCCCAAGGTCACACAGCTAGTACGTGTCAAGTGTTTGGTCTGAGGCCAGATTTGAACTCAGGTCCTCCTGACTTCAGGGCTGGTGCTCTATCCACTGTGCCACCTAGCTGCCCCTGATAGCATTTTTCATTATAAGCCCTTCAACACTTTTTTAGATCATTATATTACTGAGAATAGCTCAGTCATTCAGAAATGGTCACTGTTACTGTGTACAATGTTCTCCTGGTTCTGCTTACTTCATTTTGTATCTGTTCATGTAAGTCTTTTCAGATTTTTCTGAAAGGATCCTTCTCATCATTTCCTATAGCACAATTTGTTCAGCCATTCTCTAACTGATGGCCATCCCCTCAATTTCCAATTCTTAGCCGCCACAGAAAGAGCTGCTATAAATGTTTTTGTACAAATAGATACTTTTCCTTTTTTAAAAATCTCTTGGGATACAGACTTAGTAGTGGTATTGTTGGATCAAAGGGCATGCAGTTTTATAGTCTTTTAGGCATAGTTCCAAATTGCTCTCCACAATGATTGGATCAGTTCACAACTCCATCAACAATGTATTAGTGTCCCAACTTTCCCACATCCCCTCCAATATTTCTTTTTCTGTCACATTAGTCAATCTGGCAGGTGTTAGATGGTACCTCAGAGTTGTTTTAATTTGCACTTCTCTAATCAGTAGTGATTTAGAGTATTTTTTCCATGACTATAAATAGCTTTAATTTCTTTGTCTGAAAATTGTCTGTTTGTACCCTTTGACCATTTACCAATTGTGGAATGACTTATATTCTTATAAATTTGACTGAGTTCTCTATATTTTTGAGAAATTAGACTTTTATCAGAAAAACCTACTGCAAAATTTCCCCTAGTTTTCTGCTTTTCTTCTAATCTTGGCTGTATTTGCACAAAAACTTTGTAATTTAATATAATCAAAATTATCCATAAAGCTATCTATCTGTTGTCCAGTTCTAAACTCTTCCCTTATCCATCACTCTTAACAAGTAAACTTTTCCATGCTCTCCTAATTTGCTTATGGTATCCCCCTTTATGTTTAAATCGTGTACCCATTTTGACCTTATCTTGATATGAGGTGTGAGATGTTGGTCTATACCTAGTTTCTGGCAAAATACTTTCCAATTTTCTCAGCAGTTTTTGTCAAATAGTGAGTTCGGGTCCCAAAAGCTTGGATCTATGGGTTTATCAAACACTAGATTACTATGATCATCTGCTACTGAGTATTGCATACCTAATCTATTCCATTGATCTACCACTCTTTTTTTTAGCCAGTACTAGATTGTTTTCATGATTATTGCTTTGTTTGAGACCTGGTACAGTTAGGTCGCCTTCCTTCACATTTCTTTTTCACTGATTTCCTTGATATTCTTGACTTTTTGTTCTTCCAAATGAATTTTGTTACTATTTTTTCTGGTTCTATAAAATAATATTTTGGTAATTTGATTGGTATGGCACTGAATAAGTAGATTAATTTGGGTAAAATTGTCATTTTTATAATATAAAGCTCAGCTTACTCATGAATAATTAATATTTCTCCAATTGTTTAGATCTGTCCTTGTGTGTAAAGTATTTTGTAATTATGGTCATATAGTTCCTGGGTTTGTTTTGACAGGTAGACTCTCAAGTATTTTATATTGTCAACAGTTATTTTTAATGGAATTTATCTTTCCATCTCTTGCTGATGGACTTCATTGGTAATATATTAAAATGCTGATGATTTATGTGGGCTTATTTTATACCCTGAAACTTTGCTAAAGTTGTTAATTATTTCAACTAGTTTTTTAGTTGCTTCTCTAAGATTCTTCAAGTATACCATCATATCATATGTGAAGACAGATAGCTTTGCTTCCTCACTGCCTAGTCTAATTCCTTCAATTTCTTTTTCTTCTTTAATTGTTATAGCTAGCATTTCTAGCTGAATAATAGTGGTGACAACGGACATCCTTTCTTCACCCCTAATTGTACCGGCCGCGCCGACCTTGTGCCAGCCGCGCCGAACACTCTCCTCCTATAAGGAGCAGGCTGCCAGAGTCATACTCACCAGTCTTCGGAGCCTACCCGGATACACACACAGAGACGGACCCATCGGGAGGCTGCCAACACCAGAGCTTTATTCAGAGGCCATCACAGCAAGGCCAAGCAGGAAGGCCATAGCAACAGAGCAGGAGCAAAGAGAGAGCGCTCCCGACCACGACCGTTCCTCAGAACCTACTTAGCCCCTCCTCCTCAGCCCGCCTACTAGTCAATGATTGTAGGGTCAGATACCGGAAGGGGCTGTCTGAGTTTAGCGCACCAAGGGAGAGGGAGTGACGCAGGAGGCTAGG